GTTACGTGTTTTGCTATAAAAATAAGGTTCCCTTTTCTATGATTTTGAGTGTTTTGTATAAAAAACATAAGGGCTTTTATCCCTTGTCAAAATAATAATCATTCTAAATGATGTGACAAAAATGTGTAAAAATGTAATCTCTATGTAAAGGACTAAATTAAGCTAAAGCCTAGTACTCACATCGACGAAAATCGCGAGCTAATCATAGAAGTGAGCGAGAGGCAATAATGCGGCTAGCGCTTTTCTTCGGGTCTGTTTTTCAGCGCTGTACTCAGATGAGCTAAGGAAATACCAGAAAAATACCAGATTTCGCGAGTGAATTTTCGATGAACCCCGTTAGCCGCGGCCCAAGGAATAAGAAATTTAATCTTTGACGGTGTTCGTGCAGAAGCGGTGGGGAATTCAAAAATTAACAAGGAAGAACGCTATAGTCGAGTACCTCGACTATCAGATACCCGTTACTCAGCTAAATAGAGATAAGCAAGCAGCAAAGGGAGATTAAAATGCACCACCTTCCAGCGGTAGACAGATTTAAGCGTTATGGGCGTGGCAAATTTATTTTTGGATTAATCGATAGGTATTGACGAAACCAATACATTGTGGGCGTCACAGACTTAGGCGGTTTGTGGGCGTTAAAGTGGGCGTGGCCAACTTTTTTAAAGTCAATCGATAGGTATTGATGAGAACAATACATTTCAGTTTTTTTTTTTTTATTCTAGCATTAAAACTGTAGGAGCCACTGTTTTGGGCGGAATGTGGGCGTTAGAGTGGGCGTGGCGTCTGCAGAAACAAACTTGCGCTGCGTAAGAAGCTCAGGAATCTGCACACCAAATCTCAATAGCCTAGCTCTTATAGTTTCCGAGATCTCAGCATTCATCCGGACAGACGAACAGACGGACATGGCTAGATCGACTCGGCTAGTGATCCTGATCAAGAATATATATACTTTATGGGGTCGGAAACGATTCCTTCTGCCTGTTACATACTTTCCGACGAATCTAGTATACCCTTTTACTCTACGAGTAACGGGTATAAAAATGGAAGAAAAACTCAAAAAACGGCTAAAGGAGGTCAGTGCGGATGAAAAAGGACGCTTAATCCAAGCTTTTGCCCCTTATTGTGGGACTTGACCGACAGGAAGCAATACCACAACGGGGAAAATCCGCAGAATTGTTGAAGTGCTGGATAAGATCCCCTAGAGAATCCCAGTGGGAAGGAAAATGGGACATCGCTCGATCTCTGACGAGCTCTCCATTGAGGACTGCACCTCCACCAGCTACGCGCCGGCTTCTTTAGGAAGGAGAAAATAAAGTCACCCGCTAAGGGACAGCTGGAGGAGCCATTACCAGCAATTATTAGACAGTCTATTGGGACTCGGAGCTGGACTACAGATGGCGCGGGAAAGATGGCGAAGCATCCGTGGGACGAGAAGGAAGCCTTAACTTATATTTTACATAAATAAAAAATTTCGTTTAACAATTAATTTATTTTTATTTTAATTTCTTTGTGCACCAGCAGACTCTTTTTTATTAAATTGCTCCAATTGATTTGTTTTCCGTTTGGCAACAAGCCCAGCTGCTTGACATTTTGAAATCCTTGAAAGCTGCGGTCACACTACAAAGATCACGATTTTTCGACTAGTAAAACTCTTAGCCCATCTGAGTACTGGGATTAAAGCCTAGTACTCAGATCGGCTAAGAGTTTCACTAGTCGAAAAATCGTATTCTTTGTAGTGTTACCGAAGTTTTCAAAGTTCACCCGCAATGCATGTAGCATGGTCTTACTGTCAAGCATTTGGGTTTGAAATTTAAATTTAAAAAGGAGGAGTCTTCTGGTACACAAAGAAATTAAAATAAAAACACATGGAATGTTCAACGAATGTTTTCATTTATGTAAATTAGTAGTTTAAATCTTCCTTTTCGTCCCACGGATGCTTCGCCGTCTTTCCCGCTCCACCGCAGTCCAGCTCCGAGTCTCAATAGGCACATTGGACCTTGAGGAAGTGGGAGCCGGATTGGGAACGGGGTTGATCCGCTGATGCTGCAGGAAGTCGCCCAGCATCCTGACAGTGGCTGGCTATGGATTCTCCAACTGTTCTTTAGCTCCTCCTCCTCCCTATAGAAGCCAGCGGGTCCTCCAGCTCCGCTTAAGCTGCCAAGTAGCTGGTGGTGGTGGTGTCCGGAGTCCTAATGGAGAGGTCGTCGGAGATCGTATTACTGGTGGTTCTGCTAAAAAGATACGTCTATTAGTACAACGCGACCAAATTCTTTTGGCCAGATCTTACTTTCTTTGCGAGGACGCGCCCGGCAGGTTGTGCATGTAGAGATCGAAGTCCCACTCGGCATGTTCCATCCCACTGGGATTCTCTAGTGGATCTCCTCCAGCACTTCAACTATTCTGCGAATTTGCCCCTTTTGAGGAATAGCTTCCTCCTATCCGTCCTATTTCATCTGCTCTGACCTTCTGGATTCGATTTTGGGGCTTTCCTTCCATTTTTAATTTTTAGTTTTCACACCGCCTTTGCACGAACACCGCCAAACCACCGCGGTTTTCGTCGATCTGAGTACCAGGCTTAAAGCATAAAAATAGTTTTTATACTCGATAACATTTTAACTGCAGCTCTAATGAATGATCCAAATGTTACTTTTGAAATACAATTTTGCTCATTGACTTATCGGTCCAAGTATTAATTTATCGAGTAATTTTTGAATACCAGAAAAAATACCAGAACTGCCTATTGGTTTTGTCAATTTGCTCATTAAATGCTCGTTAGAGCTGGCATTTGTCTGTCTGGCTTGCACTTCGTAAATTATGAAAACAGTTGTTGTAATTAATGAGCCGAACAATGCCAATCCAAAAAAGATTTCAGAAACAAAATAAATAATTTTAAATGTTCAATAACTCCATGATGTGTACAGAAAATTAGTTTATGAGAACAAGAAAACATAAACCAACAAAATCGATAAAGAAGATTTTTTGACCACGGCTATATATATATTGTATTTGAAAAGATTTTTTTGAGATTTTGCGGTGCGCTTTAATGCAAAAGGTCAAAGAGAGAGCGGCCAAGAGTGCAAGAGCGAATACAACATAACACGAAATGGATTTGCCTTCGGATTTTGCTGATGTGATGACAATAGGGTTAGGGCCTTAAGTGTGAAGAGGAGGGGACCCTGTTTTAAATTTTATAAGTCTTATGTTTAAGGGTAAAAAATTTGACCAAGTATGGGAGTTTGTATTGATAAGGCAAACTAAATAAAAAACATTTTTCTTTTCTGCTACAGATGGGAGCAGAATGGAGTGCATGCTTGCAACTGTTGGCAGTTTGCCCACTAAAAAAATTATCTATGCATTTCAACCCAAATTGGTTGAATTTATCCTTTGGATATTAATTAACAAATTTTTCTAACATGTAAACTGTGGGCGCCACAGACTTTGCTGGTTTGTGGGCGTTAGGGTGGGCGTTGAAAACTTTTTATCTAACATGAAAATTGTGCGCGCCACAGGCTTGGGCGGCTTGTAGAGTGGACGTGGCATATTCGCGTAACAAACTTGCGCTGCGTACAAGGCTACGGAATCTAAATCTGAAATCCCAATTCTCTATCTTCGATAGTTTCCGAAATATCCGCGTTCAAATTTACGATTTTGCGAGTTTGTCAATAAGGTGCCACGCCCACTCTAACGCCCACAATCGTCCATAACGCTAACAAAAAAGTCTAGCACCCTCATTGTTGAATATTTTTGAAAAATTTAAATGAGATCTTGTTTTTATTATCAACTTGTATATATCCATTTCCATCGCACTCACTAAACTTGGCTGAGAGCTACAGCGTTCTCTCTTGTTTTAATTAACAATCAAATTTATTTGGCTGCAAAGTGCACTTAATATGTTTAAATAAACCAAAAAGAAATGTGTAAATACGTGATGTACGGCTTTTTCTCAGACCGAACTCCATCAATAATAATATAAGTAACGATTATTTGCTAACAAGAAAAAATGCCTCGAGGGGATCTGGGCAGGGGGAAAAGGGGTAATATTACAAAGAAGCAAAGGCTATTTGTGAAAAGGGCCAAACGCAATGGAGTAACGAGATAAAAGGGGAAAAGAGGCCAAATATACATTATTATGTAGTACAATTTAAGAATAAAATCTTTCCCACCCCTTATAAGAACAGTTTCTTAAAAGCGGACAAAGTGGCGGCGGGTAAGCTAGTATATGTGTACACTCAGGGAAAAACACCGTTCTATAGTCAAGTACAAACAGTCTTGATTAAAGATATAAATATCTTTCGACTCTGAAAATTCGGAACTGTTTATTCTGAAAGTGCTCGGTATATAAGGCGCATAAAATACACAGTGTGGGCGTTACAGTGGGCGTGGCACACTGACAAAACAAACTTGCGCTGCGCAGGAATTTATAAAATTGCATTTTTGCCGCTTCTACAATTTCCGAGATCACAGCGTTCAGACGGCCATGGCTAGATCGACTCGGCTGGTGATCCTGATCAAGAATATATATACTTTTTGGGGTCGGAAACGCTTCCTTCTGCCTGTTACTTTTTTTCCGACGAATCCAATGTACCCTTTTACTTTACGAGTAACGGGTATAATTATAACGTCGTTGTTTTCTTGACATATTAACTTCTAACCTTAAGAATGTCATTATTTTAATATTGCAGAGTTTCGAATAAAACGGTAGTAAATTAAATAGGAACATTAATTACTAACATATGTATATATCTTTTTGTTTTTGGAGCCAATAACTAAATGAAAAACAAAACAAAAGGTGTCCCAACCTACAGAACTTTTCTTTATTCGTTGTCGATTTTTTATCACAATAAGCTGTACCCTTGGGGTAATCTTATAGGTTGTCCTTTCTATATGTCGATAGTGGCACACATAAATAAAATGCACAAGAGCCAGCTCACATTAACGCAATTGAATTTTACGTTTACATTAAAAAATCCAAACTTAAGGTATATTAATTTTTATTTTGACAGCTGCTTCATCGCTTTTAATATGGTGGCAAGGTAAATGCCAAAAAAAACGTATTCGCTGTAAAAGATTTACATAGTATTAACCATATATGTATATATTTAATCCCATAACGCTGAATTCTGTCCTTTCAATTTGTTTCTTACTAAAATATTTTTAATAATTTCATGCTTAATTAACTGAATGAAGTACGACCAAAAAGTAAGTCTTTTGTGCTATTAAACTTAACGTATCGCATATATCTATAAGCATGTCCTATAACATTTTAACAAATAAACCCTGTATCTTTTGGATGTCGCATTTACACTTTTACAAAATCTTTTAAAATTAGGGTGCCGGGCAGATTTAAGAGTAGGGGCCCTTGTGGGCGTGGCAAACTTTTGTTAAGGTTAATCGAAGACTATTGACGAAGTAAATACATTTCAGCTAAAAACTCATTCATTCATTGCAGCATCAAAACTGTGGGCATTAGTGGTCGTGGCGAGAATCTCTAGAATATGAATGCTTTATCCCAACTTTTCAGCTTTTATAGATCCCAAGAAAAAAGAAGAACATACGTGTATGGCTATATCGACTCGGCTACTGATTCTGATTAAAAATGAATATATATGTGGTCAGAAACGATTCCTCTTTTGCGACGAATTCCAAATACCTATTTACTCTATGAATAACGGTTATAAAAAGCTAATAATAAAAAGGAGCTCTCCAGAAAAAACCTTTATTGTCGTTGGCGATCGTTTTTCTTCTGGTCAGCTGCTTCATGTCGGGTATATAAATTAAAGAACAAGAGAAAACGCGATTGCCTTAAGTATCAAATACCTGTTAAAAGGATTGCGAGGGAGGTCGAGAAACGGCTGTTTCCGAGTTTGCTCACCACAGCAACACGCCACCTAGTGCTTTATTCATTACTTGCTTAGAATTTTTTATTTTTTATGAATTTCATTTATTTTTATTTTATGAATTGCCCAATTTGAACAATGAATGTAGATGGGTATTGATAATAAGAATAAAATCCCATTTACACTATATAAAATATAAAAAAATGTGGGCGCCAGACCGACAGATTTACCGTTCATGCAGGTGGGCCGTTCATTTACAAATCTAACGGATTTCCCAAAATTGTTTTCCCATTTTTGTTTTTTTCTGAATCTTTTTTTACGTGTACTATTTGGTAAATAGGTAAGCACGTGTATCAACACTTGTATGAAAAAAAATTTTTCTAGTTTGACTTTTTTAAAATTTAAAACCAATTAAAACTGTTTCTCTTACAGGCTTAAAAGTAAAATAAAAATGAAATGTATTTCTCTCGTCAATACCTATCGACTGACCCAAAAAATGGTTTCCACACCCACTCTTACGCCCACAAACATAAATGAAATCGTCCGTATACACGCTTATATCTAGGAAACTAAAAACGCTAGAAAGTTTGGATCTATCATGTATATTTCAGATATTCCTGGTCAGGGCAAGTTGCACGCCCACCCTAACGCCTACAAGCGCCCACAGTACTTAGTAAATTAAAATTGATTTGATTGATCAATACCTGTATATAGATAGATATATCTAACCGCTGAGAATCTTACTATGTTAAACGTACTTTGGCATGGTCAGTGGTACCGATATCATCCGCTAGGTGACGGGGCGCTGGCATGGGTAATGTGTCTTAGTTTAAAATTTGTTCAACTACCGATTCCGGAGATATCTATCGCACACATAAACAAATTCAACAAATCTGGTTTCTGGCGAATATCTCCAAAACGATTCTTTAATATTTTTGAATGAGCTCAGCGACTTCAGGGGCTTAAAACTAAATAGAAAATGTGGCTCTCCACTTTTTTCCTTTCTGGCTGTAAATTAGTGTTATTTCAAATAACCTATTTGTGTTTTTTTGAAACACTCATTGTGTAAATTTGTTTAACTCCCCGATATTATATCCGATGTGTTTAGTGGATGACAATACTTTAAGCATTTTAATTAAACTAACTTTATTTACAAATGACTAAAATAATATCTAATTGCACTGTATTTCTTTCAAAATCTAGAGCAACTGGCATGGTGGCAGCTCTGGGAGAAGAATACACTTATCATATTAGTTGCTGCTATTATGGGATTATTACTGACCGTGATTATTATATGTTGCATAATTATATGCATTTGCCGTCGTCGTCGTCGCCAAGATAAATGTAAGTATGAATATATTGCCAGCAAAAAAAAATACATTTTTTTTTGTAAGTGCTACACTAAAAGCAACCATTTACATATATATCAATAATAGCGAACAACAAAAAAGGCTTGAACCATATGATAAGCATAACACATTAAGTTTGAACTAAAATATACATTTATTTTTTAACCTTTTTACTCTAGTAGTATCTTTAAATATACCTTCTATATTTCAATCAAGAATAAATTTAACATTTTTAAATACTGATGCATGACAATTTTTATTAAAGCATTTAAGTCTGCAATATAAACGAAAACAAAAAGTCGCCCAAGTCGAGAAAAAATTTTTAAGTTATAAGGAAGAGAAAAAATTTTTTAGTTATAATTGTTTATTTTCTTTTAGAAATCCATGAACAAATCCGGTTAGAATTTGCTGTGTGTAATAGAGTTAGACATAAATAAAATGGTTTTGTGGTGTACTTTCTTTGAACAAGTAATGAAAAATAATTGTTTACTTATTTGTATAGCAATGAAGGAGACATTTCCGACCCCATAAAGAGTATTTATTCTTGATCACCATGACTATAAGAGTTGACCTGGCCACGTCCGCTTGTCCACGCGCCTGTCTATCTGTCCGTTTTTACGCAAACTAGTCTCTCAGTTTCAAAACTTTGAAACTTTTCTCAAAGTTTTCTTTTTATTGAAGGTAGTTTATAAGTCGGAGGGAGCTGGATCGGATACCTTTACATCTTGATTGTTTTTGATCATATTCTCTTCTACTCTTTCAGAATAGTTATTAAATCAGACGAGTATATCAAATCATCATATCTTACACTCAATAAAATAAACTCTTAATTTTGGAAAATTGAATCTAAAATTTTTTTTCCAAGTGCAAGACTTTTTTAATCAAGTCCAGGAATTTTTCCTTAAATCTAGAAAGTTTTTCTTTCCTTCTTTCTTTAAGCAAGAACGCAATCTACATCTACAAAATTAGACATGGACACAATTTGAGGTTTAAAACTCCTTACTACACACAAAAAAATAGACTAGAAAAATTGACCAATATGTTAGTAAAACGGATTTTCCATTATGGGTAAAATGGAATCGAATTATCCATTATGGGTAAACTGGATAATTCGATTGTTACTCCTACGTAGTTCGTAAACGTAAGGGTTACTTTAAAAATTGTAACGTAACTATAAAGATGGGTAGAATGTACCCAACCCATGGATTGTACTCAAATAACAATTATCCAACCCATAAAATATAGTTTGTGAATTTTTAAAATTAAATACATACCTATAAAATTGATAAAATTTGTATAAGTCCATAAAGACATCCCTGTAACATGGTAATAAAATAAAAAAACAATTTTTAAAGTGACCCAGTAATTATAAACAACACATTGGAGAAAATTTGTAAAGTTATTCTTGCATACTTTTGTGTGAACGATTTACGTTAGGATAGCTTTTAAATTATTTTTTTACCATTGCAAGAACAAAATACAAACATTAAGTAAACGTAACCATGTTAATAGTGGCATTACTATTAAATAGTAAACAACAATTCTTAATTGTGAAGTACAATTTGTTATAGTTACTAAACTATCTGGAATGGTCAATTTAACCAACATTTATTTTAAGTGTGGACTTAATAGCTACTCATAATATAACTAAGAAAGCTTTTTACTTCCATGAATTTTTTTCTATATTTAAAAAAATGTATTCTCCTAAAATGTTGTAAATTTACTCTGTAATTTACAATAAATGTAACCCTTCAATTTATGGCAAGCTTGTCTTGAAGACAAAATTTGGCGATTCCTTTTTCTTAAAATTAATTATATTTTGAGTGTATTATCTTATACCCAGTTATTATACCCGTTACTCGTATGTTTGCACTGAATAGCAACACATAATATTAATTGCATTAAAATTCAAAGACATACATATATGTACATATATACATCTTACTTCCATACATTTTTTATATATTAAAAAGATGTATTCCCCTCAAATGTAGCGTAAAAACTCTGAAATTTAAAATAAATGTAACCCTATAATTTATGGCAAACTTGTCTTAAAGAAAAAATTGGGCGATTACTTGTTTTTAAGATTAATTTTATTTTGAGTGTATTATCTTATACTCAGCTTATCATTATTATACCCGTCGGAAGGTATGTAACAAAGAAGAAAGCGTTTCCGACCCCGCAAAGAATATATATTCTTGATCAGGATCACTAGGAGAGTCGATCTAGCCAAGTCCGTCTGTCTGTCCGTTCGTATGAACGCAGAGATTTCGGAAACTTTACAAGCTACAATATTGGGACTTGGCATACATATTCATGGTCTTCCTGCGCAGCGCAAGCTTGTTTCAGCAGGGTGGCACACCCACTCTAACCCCCATAAACCGCCCAAAACTGTGGCTCCTACAATTTTGATGCTAGAATAACATTTTTAACTGAAATTTATTGTTCTTATCAATACTTATCGGTTAACCCAAAAAAAAAATTTGCCACGCCAACTTTAAAGCCCACAAGCCGCCCACAAGCTTAAAAAGATCGCAAGTATGAACGCGGATATCTCGGAAACTATCAAAAATAGAAAATTGGGATTTCAGAACTAGATTCCGTAGCCTTGAACACAGCGGATGTTAGTTACGCGACTATTATTACGAAACCGCCTAAGCCTGTGGCGGCCACAATTTTCATGCTAGATACAAAATTTTAACTGAAATGTATTAGCCTCGTCAATACCTATCCATTGATCCAAAAAAAGTTTGCCACGCCCACTCTAACGCCCATAACGCTTAAATCATTTCAGCATTTCAATCTCGCTTTGCTGATTGCGTATCTCCATTTCCCTTTGGTCCCATAAGCTGAGTAACGGGTATCGGATAGTCGAGTTACTCGACTATAGCGTTCTTTCTTGTTTTTGAAAGAAACCGCTAATTTTTTCAATTTTAAACTTAAATAAATGAATACAATGGTTTGGGTGGAGTTTCTAATGTCGGCAATCTCACTTTGCCATTAGCAGAACACATGCCGGGGGTTTCACATGGAAAGTTAGCCGCATCACAATGTGGACATATCGCTTTCGTCATTCCAATGTGCGCGTTCGTACTAAAATCAATCTGACAGTTGTAATTAAAAGCAGCAGCCAACAATTCAAAATGCCACATCGACTGGTTCGTGGCATTGTTCCTTATAAAGACTTTAAGCGATATGAAATACCGACGACTCGCTAAACAACAGAGAAATATAACAAATACTTGTAAACAAAACCTACACATGTTGCTTTAAATAGAAGAGCCCGTTCTTTAGTTATAAAATTACAAAAAAGTGGCATTGATTTTAATCTATATAGAGAAATTAATAGGGTCGGAAACATTTCATACTATACAGCCATGAGATTCGTCAACTTTGGACAACATTGAATTTTGTATGTGGGTCATGGAATCATTTAAATAGCTATCAACAGTTACATATAAGAAACTAAAACTATACGGCTTTTGAAAAATTATAGAATGTATTACTTTACGAGTAACTGGTATAAAAACAACGGGGATGTGGAAAGTTATGGATTGGGTGGCTTTTCGTTTAAGAATACCGGATAGAAAGCTCAAATAATATATTTAATATATTATATAATACATTTTAACTATTACTAACATATATAACATGTTTGCTTGAATTCTTAATTTATCTATTACATACGTACGCTTTGCTTCACAATGCCTGGCCGACATCATTGCACGCTGTATTAAACTAATAAATCGCATGAAACGGTTACTACTCTGTGCTGCAACAACAATTCCACGATCATCCCACATACACACAACTACACCTACATGTACAGATCTTACGGAAGTTTCTATAGGTTCTAAAAGGTAAGTCCAAACAAAATTTATTGTATTTCAGCCAATGGCTTTTGTAAATGTATTTATGTATGAAGATCATGCAATGGTAAACAAATCAATATTAGGTTTAAAAAAAAAACTTAAATTTTTTAGCACACACATTCGGAAAATATATTTAAAAACTGATGTTTTCTTTAAATTTCAATTATTTTTTATATTTATATTGTGAAAATCACAATCATGAATTTATTACCCAAAATGTCTAAATCTTAAATTTGGTTAAAGACGCCAGGTTTTTCGGCATATGACATTTCGACTCTACGAAATACTCCTGTTTTTACATTCACAAAAGTTTTCGTAATACTTTTAAAAACGCAAAAATATACTCCTTCAATTTACGCAAAACGATCATTTTTTTTTTTAATTTTTAAAACTACAAATTTATTTACGTTTAGACCGTTTTTTTTTTTGACCTAACGTCAGTTCCTATTTGCCTTATTCATTGGTACATTAACATTAATTTTCACCATCACAAGGCCAATTAAGGGCGTATTTAATTTGTAAAAAAGTAGTTTATCAAACCACCTAAAATTGTATACCCAAATATTTGCCTAAACTAACATTTATTTTTTTAACAAAGCTGTTAAAAACGGGAACTAAAACCGGTGCACTGCAAAAGGAAAATTAAATATTTTTTGAAAACTCAAAAGTGAAGTAAAAACCAGAGCATTCTCGTGTATAATTGCTAAGTATTGGCATAAAGATAAATTGTGTTCACGCTGTCAATTTTTGTAAATTACCTTTGCATGAACCCGTATGTATTTTCATTTGTAATGTTTTACTAAATACCTATTTATACCGCATAACCCGTAAAACTGCACTTTTTTTGTTTATCCCACACACCACATTTCAGTGTATTGTCTGATCAGGCAGAAATTACACAATCGGGTGGGAGCCTACAAAAACAAGATAAATATGCAGCTATTTTAAGAAATCCGTCTCCCACGCGCTTCAATGCAAACCCGCCTAAATCGCCACCGCGTTGGCCAATTCGTCCTGGAGTGATGCTTCACGTAAACAGCAACACAAAAGAAAATCTGGCTGTGAACCGAATGACATTAAACAGGAATCTGTGTAATAGTGGTGGCCACATGAGCGAGCTATCGGCACAATTAAGTGCTGTCTTAAGAGAAAGCCACGCTAGATCCGATAGTACCATCCTCACCGACGAGTCTGTCGTTTTCGAGAAAAACGCAGCATCACAGTTATCTACAGTTGAAACAGCTCAATTAAAGATTGTAAAAGAGAACAAGTCTGGAGCAGAACTAGAACCATTGGATGTCTTGCCTGCCACAACATCATGTTCTGGACAAAACAAATTGGGTCATATTTTATCACTGCTTTTTAAAAAGAATGCGAATGATTGCACTCGAGATAGTCAGCGGAGTCATGTTGGTTTATTACAGACCTTTTGGCGTGGGCTGGCTTCTAATGAAAGCACCCCGCAGTTTGGAACTCAGCATCGTCTTAAAGGAATTCGTTGCAGTGGAAGTGGTAGAGTATTTTTGTGAATTTTAGTTGCACCATAACATTTATTTTTATTCCTCTTTATTTGTTGCTGTATGATTTGCATCAATCAACCAATACTTATCAAATAGTGACCTACAAAAAGGCCAAAGAGACGATCCACGGCAGGACAAACGCAACAATTGGAGAACCTTCTTTAACTAACAAGCCCAGTATTTGCCAATCACATACCTCATTGACACATCAAGTGCCTTCATTAGACAAGGACGCAGCTAAAATAGTTACGGAAGACACAAATTTTCCAAGAAAATAGAAGACTATACGTGCAATGTCGCCCCCTGTAGAACGGAAGTAAGCTCTTTGGAGCCTCGTCAAAGGCGGTGCAACATGGCACCTCCCAGACCCTCAACTCCTACATTACAATTAAGGAATTTGCACAATGCAATCAACTGCAGCTGTTCCCCCGATTCAACGTTGGCCCAATCCAATAAACTTGAACATGTTAAAAGTAAGAATATTTGTAGAATTGTGTTGACCGTAACAAAGATAGGTTTTTCCAAAAAAATCATTTTTTTTATTATTATTTTTCCAGTTTAATTTATATATCAAAAAAAAGGATATTTTTTGAGTTTTTTATAAAATCAAAAAATTATTGATGTCATGTTGACTTTTATTTTCTGATACAGAAATAATAACTATTCTATAAGTTGTATTTTCCGACTGGCAATAACGCTTACTTACTTACTAATCATTTTCTGATTGAAAAATAAAACTTTATCCTAGAGTTTTATTTTTTTGTTGAAAATAAAGCTCGTGTTTGCGTCTAACCGAAGTAGACACTTCTGGGTTACGCCGCAGGGCAGGGGTTAGTAAGCGTCTGTCGCAGACACGAGGGTTACTGCGATTCCGGGACCACTGTCGATAACGTAGCTAACGTAGATTAGATCAACCTTATCGCAGTACCCATATCGCCTGTGGTACGGCATCGCAGTAACCCTCGTTACCACTGTCGCGACGAGATCGTCCTGCCATCATAGCTTCCCCGTGCTTGAGACGAGCGCTTACTAAGCCCTTGTCCTGCGGAGTGACCCAGAAGTGTCTACAATTTGTTCAATTTAAGAGCGATGGCTGTGAAAATTATACAAACCTAAAATTAGTATTAGTATTTGCCGTGGTCGACTTAGTATATTTGTCACAGCCTCGACTATCAGATAACCGTTGCTCAGCTAAAGGGACCAAAGGGAAATGGAGATACGCAAGCAGCAAAGCAAGAATAAAATGCGCCACCTACTCGTGATCTCAATATATGGTAATGTGGGCGGTAGACAGAAGATAAGCGTTATGGGCTTTAGAGTGGGCGTGGCGAATTTTTTTTTTAATCAATCGATAGGTACTGCTGAGACCAATACATTTCAGTTAAACTCTTTTATCTAGCATGAAAATTGTGGGCGCCACAGGCTTGGTCGGTTTGTTTGCGTTAGAGTGGGCGTGGCAATCTTTTTTTGGATCAATCGATAGGTATTGACGAGACTAATACACTTCAGTTAAAATTTTATATCTAGCATAAAAATTGTGGGCGCCAGAGGCATGGGCGGTTTGTGGGCGTTAGAGTGGGCGTGGCGTATTCGCGTAACAAACTTGCGCTGCGTACAAGGCTACGGAATCTAAATCTGAAATCCCAATTCTCTATCTTTGATGGTTTTCGAGATATCTACGTTCATATTTACGATTTTTTGAGGTTTGTGGGCGTTAAAGTGGGCGTGGCATACTTTTTTTGGGTCAATCGATAGGTATTGACGAGACTAATAAATTTCAGTTAACATTTTTTTTAGCATGAAAATTGTGGGCGCTACAGGCTTAGGCGGTTTGTGGGCGTTAGAGTGGGCAGGGCAATATTTTTTTTTGATCAATAGGTATGGACGAGACCAATACATTTCAGTTGAAATTGTTTATCTAGCATGAAAATTGTGGGCGTAACAGGTTTGCGTAACAAATGTGCGCTGAGTACAAGGCTACGAAATCTAAATCTGAGATCCCAGTTCTCTATCCTTGATCAAGCAAAACCACCTCTTAACGAGGTAAAAAGTAGTGGCGAACGCGCTTTTAACAAAAATTTCTATTCTATTACATTCGATAAAATAAATAAACTATATTACATTTATGATATATATATATATGACATATATGATATACATCACGTTTCTGTAGCATTAGTTGTTTAGATACTATAAGCATTTTAAATCAGGCTTTTTTTTGGATTTTCCGCTAAACTAGCGGGTTTTTCCAAAAGTCGTAAACAAACGTTTTCTAATTCAAGCTACTTTATACACCCATAGGGTTTTCAAAACCCTAAAACTAAGATGGGATGCATACAAACCCACAAACAAAGAGACAAACATTTTCATTTTGGGAAGAAGTAGAAAATCTTGTTTTTATACCCTTGCAGAGGGTATATTGATTTCAGTCAGAAGTTTGCAACGCAGTGAAGGAGACGTTTCCGACCCCATAAAGTATATATATTCTTGATCAGCATGACTAGACGAGTCGATCTAGCCATGTCCGTCTGTCCGTCCGTTTCTATGCAAACTAGTCTCTCAGTTTTAAAGCTATCGGCCTGAAACTTTCCCGAAAGTCTTATATCTTTTGCAGGTAGTATATAAGTCGGAACCAGCCGGATCGGACAACTATATCTTATAGCTCCCATAGGAATAATAGGAAAAACAAATTTAAAAAAGTTATATCTTTGGTGTTTTTTAGCATATAATCCTCCTAAGCTTGGAAATACCATTTTTTAATTCGTTTGAATTTCGAATTTAATTTTATCAAATCGGAAGACTATATCATATAG